ACCTGGAGACCTCCTACATGGCCTTATGAGGTAGGTATTATCATGTCCCCACTTTACAGATGAGCAAAGAGAGGCTCTCACAGAAAAAGTAACTTGGCCAGGATTTGAACCCAAGCAGCCTGACTCAGCGTCAGACACAAGAACACTGGTCTGCGGCAAAATGAGCAAAATACGGATGATGCAGTGAGTTTTTAATAACGCAAAATGCACTCACGTTGAAGGAGTACCTTTTGTTCCAATACTATAGAGCCTTCTTACTTTGGGGACAGAGGTGTTTAAATGCTGGTTCTCTCACCATATGATGGTGACAGTAAACAGAACTCTAACTGTCACTTGAATATCCTTAGCTGGCAAAATGTAAGGTTGGCCAGCCCAGGATAGATTCCCAAATGTCGCGATCTTTGAAACCTGAGTCTGAGGATCACTCTTCTGCTATACAGCCTTCCTGCCCCAGAACGGCAGCATGCTTCTGCTGCTCTGCTCCGGGTTCAAAAGCACACCCCACCTCGATGTGCGTCTCACCCCAGCTTCGAAGAGGTGGCTTTTAAACGGAGCCTTTCCCCAGCCCCCTCCCTCCAGTAAACCCACAGAGCATTTGTTCACGCCTCTTGTTATATTTATCTCATTCTTCCTCAAGTTACAGCGATCTGGAGCCAAGCCACTCTTGTACCCCCAAAGTGATTACAGAAGGACAGAAGAGGTGCTGAATTGTTAGCCCGTCTCAGCCTGAGGAGTCCCCAGAGACACCACCGCTGGCTCTCATTCTGCAGGTGTGGAAAACCAAAGGCCCCTCCTCAGGCACCCAGAGAGCCGATGGCAGAGCCGAGGTGCGTCTCCTGTCTCCCCGGCACTAGTTCTTTCCACTGTGCCAGGCTGCTTCCCAGACGCTCCCTTTTGGTTGGCTCAGCACCTCAGTTCAGAGGAGAGTGCTGAGCATGTGACAAACACTTCATAAATATCTGTCCATTAAGAGGTGCAAAGCAGCCCAGGGAACACAGGCTTCCCTCTCTCCAACGGCCCCCAGCTCAAGCTTCAAATGGCCCTCATCAGATCTTCACCCGGTGCGAGCTGCCCATCAAGTGGAGAAACGGCCCTCAGGCCCTTGGTGACCTGGATGTAGAAAGGTCCCATATGGCTCAGAAATGCAATCCCCATTAGGTCAGAGTTATGATCCCAGCCTTGCTGAGTAATCTTGGGTAAATGCCTTCACCTCTCCAGGTGTTAGGTGCTCCAGACAGGTGGAATGCTGAGAGGAGAGATGAGGGGCCATTCCCCAAGCCTATTGGACGGGTATAGGCACTAGACAGGCTTCCCAGGAGGAATTTGAGTCCTGCCTCTAGAAGCCTCCAAGGACAGGAAAGGCTCTGGCCCACCAGGGACAAATGGATAGCTCCATCGGACCCGTGCTACAGAGCAAGCCTGAGTGGTCCCCCAGAATCTGTGGCCACCTTTTGGATTGCTGGGTCAAATGCCAATGAGTCTTTAGAGCTGTTTGGAAATGTCCTAAACTGGGTAGAATATTTTATTATTATTACTGTTTCACAAACTCAATGCGGAAAATAAAGAGATGACGATGGCATCATCGCGCTGAAGCCTTCCTGACCCACTGAGTGGGAAAGACCATCCCTTCCCCCGTCCCATTCCGCCCTGTGTCAGTGTTATCACAGCGCCTAGATGGTTTATCATCACTACAGGTCGAGATATTTGTCTCCCTCTGTCAGCTGTGAGCTTCTTGAAACCGAGGATCACCTCTTACCCCTTCCTGTACCCCGTGCACGTAGTCCAGGGCCTGGCTAATTAATAATAAACAAATGCTGTCAATGTTAGCCAGACAAGGAGTCCCCTCCACTCCTATTCTGGCACAAGGTGGCATTTAGGCCTTTTAGAGCCAGGAGATGCATGGGGTCCACCTGCGCGATGGGAACCCCGACATTTGGGGGGAATCCGGCTCACCCAGTTACTCAGTGAGAGGGCTCAGACTAAAAGCAGCCCTTCGACTCCCAGCACAGCGCACCTCCAGCCTAACTTCCTCAGGTTCCACAAGACATCAGCCGTGTAACTCTGGGCAAGACCCTTTGCCTCCCTGCCTCGGCTTTCTCACCTGTAAAATGGGTAAAATTATAGCTCTACATACTGGGATTGTCTGAGGAGTCAATAAGCGAACCTGGGTAAAACAGACCACAGCGCACAGGAAGCGCTCAGAGAGGGCGTCTGTCATGACTGTCATTCATTCCCAGCCATTCTCCTTGACGAGGGGCACCGCCCACCAGCAAAGCGGAGCTCACGGTGAAAGGAAGACTTCCCAGCACTGACTCACACACTCTTCAGCCCAGCGGGTCCCCTGCAGCCATCGCTTCGGAAACGCCTGACTTCCTGTCATGACTCCTTCACCGCTTTCCCTTCTCCCCATGCATGCGTGCAAGTGTACACACAGCTCCAACACACAACAGCAAGGGACGGACGGACGGGGGGCAGGGAACCTTTGGAAGAGCACACTCTTTCAAGTCAGGTGGAGCTGGTGTCAGATTACAGTTCTGCCACCTGTAGTTGTGCAATCGTAGGCACGTCAATCTCTCTCAGCCTCAGTCTCCTCATCTTTCAAATAGGTATAATGTGCTATGAGGACTACCTGAGCCAGGTCATGGGCTGGGAGTCCAGAAATGATACTGACAGTACTGCTGCATGTCCATTCCAGCCACTTGGTTCTCCTCATCTGCGCCCTCCCCCAAACACAGCGAACGAACGGCTGGAATCACTCTCATCCCATCCTCCTCACGTTCATCTTATACCAGCCAGCGCCATCTGTTTGCCAATGTCAGCACTCTGCCAGGCCCATCTAGCCCCTTCAAGCCTCGCTAGAGGAGAGAAACAACTGTGGGCCACTGGCAATGGCAATAATGACAATATTAGCAATAACAATAATAATAGTATTAGTAACAGCAATAGTAAGAACAACCAACAACCTGCACAGGGCCCTATACTTAAAAGGGCTTTCACCTCCACCGTCAACACAGTCCCACAGTTTCTCCCTAATCTAATTGGCTTAGGGACATAATTTTCTCAAACTTATTCGATTCAACACTCACTGAGGACCTCCTGTGTGCTAGCCATGGGCTAGACACTGGAGACACAGAGAGGAAAAAGACAGGGCCTCTGCTGGGAGGGGCTCACAATCTAATGGGGATTTACGGGAGGTGGGGACATAATTTCTTTTGGCCCAAATGCCCCGCCCCACCCTATGGGGAGCATTCTTTATTATGCTGTCAAGAAGCAGAGTGCATCTGTGGAATAAACTGGAGCAAGAAGGTGAATGCTGATTGACAACGACAGCAGGAGGGAAGATAAAGAATCGAAAACGTGGGCACCAAAAACCCGACTGCATGTCTCTGGGAGATTCTAGTGAGAGACTCCAGGGAGGGCGAGGGAGCAGTAGTGGACCCAGATGAAAGCAGGAAGCCGTGGTCCCTACCCCCTGCCCGCACACAAGATTCTGATGCTTCTGTTCCCTTAGGGTCTCTGCCCTCAGATGCCAAGATTTTCCAAACCCCGTGCTGGGCTATAGACGCCTCCTTGGGACCATCATTTGCTAGGATGATGTCACAGCCTTTGCAATGGAAATGGCTGTACCTCTTGGCTGCTTCCTAGGTCCTCAGCCCAGCAGCCCAGCACACTCCAGCATTCATTGTCCCCTGGCAGGCACAGCATCCCCAGGGATGTGGAAGAGACTGGTGGGGGAGGGGGAGAGCAAAGGACTGGAAGCAGCCACCCCTCCTCTCTCCCCCCAGTCTGTCTCCCGAGTCCTGTGTCCCTGCAAACCTACTACATGCCGGGCACTATTTTAGGTGCTTCCATGTACATCTCATTTAATCCTCACATCAACCCTTCGAGGCACGTACTTCCCAGATTTACAGATGAGGAAACTGAAGCTTGGAGGTGGGAAGTAACTTGACAACGGTACCCCGGTGACGGGGCAGGGATGCCAATATAGGGCTGTCTGATGCCTCCCGTTCCAGGAGGCCCACAAGGTCAACGTTTCACTTGAGAAGTCCAGAGCTAAAAGAGATCAATTAAGGAAACCCCAATTATTTAAATTCTGGGTTGCTTCAGTAGAGGGATCCCCCTGACATGTAAGAGCTACTTGAGGGGCATATTAAAATCTTACAGACCGTCTAATCCAACTCCTGCATTTAACAGATGAGCAAACAGACACCCACGCCTAAAGAATGTTAAGATGGCTACTTGTGGCCTACTAGCAAGCTAAGGGACTAGAACTCCAATTGCTGGCACTTCCCCTCCACCCCGCTGCCTGCGGAGATCATCTGCTTCTGGGAAGCCCCTCCAGCCCACCCCACACCACCAGAAGGTCAGAGGAAACAGGTAGACCAGGCCTCTCCTCAGTCTGCAGGGTCGGGGACGGGATATGGGGCTACCCAGCTCCCTGCTGAGGAGCACAAGGAGAACGCATCACATCCCACGGGGGCTCCAGGGAGACTGAGGCTCAGATCTCCCACTCGAGGGGTCATGGGCAAGTCTTCCGGATCTACCGCAGGGCTCTGATGCTACTCGGGGGAATATGGGAACCAGGCAGTCATTGGCACTTGACCTTGGGTTGGGTGTAGGGTTCCATCCTTCTCCCACCCCTAGGTACTCTTGCTCCACCTCCAAGAAGGAAAGCGGTTTAAATGTTTGCCAAATGCCCGAAGAGGAAGATAAATAGGACTGGGTGGTCCTTAAAACCCTCCTAATCGCCCTCCTTGGGCATCTCCCCTGCTGCATTCAGCATCCTCCAATTAGTGAATTTCACAGGAGTGGGGGGGAGGGGGGGCGCTCAGAGGCATGTAGGGGAATGAAGGGAAGGTAAGAATGAGTCACAGTTAACCCCTCTTCGGCCGGTGCCCCCGGAGGGATCCTACCGCAGCGAGCGGTCGCAAGCTGCCCCCGCCCGCCCTCCCGCCGCGGCGCAGGCAGGGCCCCCTCCCGCTCGGCCGCGGCCTCCTCACCTGAGTCCTCTGGCCCTCCGCAGCCCCGCCGGCTCGCACCACTCCGGCCGCCTGGCGCAGCGCCTCTGCAGTCGCTGCTGCAGCTGTCTGGCCCGGATCAGCAACCTGCGGCGGTGGGGAAAAGCAGACAGACAGGGGCGGGTGAACGCGGGCGGGGACAGCGGGCACCAAGCCCCAGACCGCTGACAGCTGGGCCGCTGCAGCCAGAAGCCCGCAGGGCAGGCTCGGGCCGGGCGCTCCGGCGGCTCCTCCGCGGCCCGCGCCTCCCCTCCCCCCACCCCGCCCTCGGCCCTCGGGGCGGCGGCGAGCGCAGCCGGGCGGCGGCCCCGGAGGCCCCGGGGTCCCTGTCATCACCTGCGGAGGCTCCCATGGCCTCGGCTGCCCTGCCCGGGCCGCCGAACTGCTCTCCGGAGCCCCTGCTGGAGGCGGCTGGCCGGGCGCTCGCCGGGGCTGGGGCTGCCGGGAGGGAGGGAGGGAGCGAGGGGAGGGCGAGGTGGATGGAAAGGACCAGCCAGTCCGCGGCTCGCCGGCGGCTGCGTAAGCGGCCCGTCTTCACTTTCCTTCTTAAAGAGATAGTTGGCATCTTGCTCCAGAGGGCGCGGGAGCGGAGACGCGAGCACGCACGGAATGGAGTCCCTTCCCACCCACACACCAGCCTGTACTTGGAGCCCGGCTGTGGCGTCTGGCGGAAAGCGCCCTGGTCCACTGGCACGCTGTGTGATCCTGAGCAAGTCCCTTCATCTCTCTGGGCCTCAGCTTTCTCACCTGTAACAGGGGATGATGATACCCACACTTCCTGGCACACAGTCGGCTTATGTTAAATAATAATTTTATCTGAATTTCTTTAGGGACATTTTTCACACCCCAAACCATGTATCTCTGAGTACCAGGGTTATGTAATGCGAACAGCACTTGGACTACCAAGAAAGATGATGGCAAGAGTCTTAAATATCTGAAAACGAAAATCTTTGTCTTTGAAGTATTACGATGGTGAGTCTTGGGACTGGCCTCGTGGCCGAGTGGTTAAGTTCCCGCGCTCGGCTTGGGCGGCCCAGGGTTCCGCCGGTTTGGATCCTGGGCCCGGACAGGGCACCGCTTGCTATTCAGGCCATGCTGAGGCGGCGTCCCACATGCTACAACGGGAAGGACCCACAACTAAAATATGCAACTATGTAGTGGGGGGATTTGGGGAGAAAAAGCAAAAAAAAAAAAAAAAAAAAAAAGATGGTGAGTCTTTGGAAAGATGGAAAACTAGTCAGAACCTAAAGTGTTTGCTATACACCTTTTCCTTCTGTCTTCCACCTGCTATCACAGGGGAAGCCAAGACCCAGAAAACTGGATTCTCTGCCTAGCCCTCCCACTTCTAGCCATGCAACTTCAGGTGAGTTAATTCACTCTCTGGGCCTGGTTTCTTATCTGCTCCGGCTGTGAGAAGTGGGGCTCAGCGGGAAGGGCTCCCTCCTCCTGAACAAGCCCTAACTCTCTGATCAGTCATTCCTCTGCTCAAAGCCATCTCTCACTCCTTCCAGATCTCTGCTCAGATGTCACGGTCTCCGGGAGGCCTGCCTTGACCACCCTCCCTAAAATGGTAATTCCCTCCTCCCCTTCCCCCTCTGCCCTGGTTCTGCTTTATGTCACTCACAGCCGACATATTGTACAGTTCCTGTTTGTCATTGTCACCCCCACTAGAATGTACACTCCACGAGGGCAGGAACTTTGTTTTGTCCCCCACTGTATCCCCAGTGTCTCAAATAGCACCTAACACGTATTAGGTGCTCAATAAACGTTGACTGAGTGAATGAGAGAGCAAGCACGCATTGCGCTAGTCTTCTGTAAAAACACTCAGCCAGATGCCATCCTGTTCTTAAGACTCTTAAGTCCTTAAGTCTCTGTCTGCTCTCGACAAGGCTGAACTTGGTGCCGTCTACTCTTCACCCTAAGCTGAAGGAGAATTTGTGAACTAACTTCACCGACTTTATATTATGATGCTGCAGTACTGGCCTGGTAAGAAATAGTTAATATTTATAACATTTATAATACATGAAAAAACAATTATTTTAAAGTTACTGTTGCTTTTCAAAGTTAAATCTTTTTCTGTAGCTTTTTTTTTTTTTTTGAGGAAGATTAGCCCTGAGCTAACTGCTGCCAATCCTCCTCTTTTTGCTGAGGAAGGCTGGCCCTGAGCTAACATCCGTGCCCATCTTCCTCTACTTTATATATGGGATGCCTACCACAGCATGGCGTGCCAAGCGGTGCCATGTCCGCACCCGGGATCTGAACCGGCGAACCCCAGGCCATGGAGAAGCTGAACGTTTGAACTTAACCGCTGCACCACCAGGCCGGCCCCTCTGTAGCTTTGATTTGTGGCAAATCCATCACCCTATAACAATGCCTGTAATTTTGCAACAAATGCCCATAGAATTTTTTGGCATTGGTTATATTTTTCCCTCTATTCAATTAATTTGAATTCTCCTATCCGATGTCCATCATTATATTATGCTTTGCGGAAAAACATGGCAGAGTAATTGTAACAGGAAAAGGAAACTATAGTTGAAAAAGCCATATGAAATGAGGCCTGCTGTACAAAAAAAACTAATGCTGTATTAGCAAGTTAATTGATGAAATGTTTTATCTGCCCTAAGGCCCACTTAAACTACATAAGTGACTTCTTTACACTTAAAGCAAAAGCGAAGGAAACCATGTAATTCCTGTTTATCAGGAGATAATTGCTGAGATCCTCATTTAAAAAACCTGGTTTTCTGTCCCCCATGTTATTTGCTTGGCACTGAGAAGACTACATTTCCCAGAAATCTCCACAAGGTATTTCTCCCAAACAAGAGAGCACCTCCACCCACATTACTTCCATCTGGAATGGTGTTAGCTAGTGAAGAATTCTCTCCTCAGCATCATAAAGCATGTGATGGAGAACAGAGCCAGTGTTTAGTTATAATGTAAATGGCAACAAATGAGGATTTTAAGCATAAAACAAAATTATTCTAAAGAAATTTGTAGTTTTGTTTTGTACTAATTGGGAAATACTTAGATTTGCGTAGTTTCAAAAGCAATTTGGGTTCCTGTTGTGGGTCAGCACACTCCTGCCAGTGAATGCACTGATAAAACCTGAACGACATGCGTGCAGCAACTACTTGGGGGCTGAAGAGAAATGCTAGCAGGCAAACTGGGGAAGAGGCCAGCATTTGACGTACCCCTGAACTGACTTTACCACTTTTGTTTCTCCTGGTATCCCCTGGTCTGGTCTCAAGGCGGCCCAAAATCTGGACTGGGGGAATTGACACAGAGAGAGCGCCCAAGGAATCTCCCTAGTTCTGAATCAGGAAGGGAGATCCCTAATGCTCAGAGTGAGTGGGGGAAATATTTTTCTTTTCTTTGTTAACCTTTTCTGCATCAGCTCATGACTCAGCCCCCAGGCAGTCCTGCAGTGGTGGCTGTGACAGCAGGGACCTCCAGGTGCCTAAAACTCTAAGGGAGGAACAACTTCTCCAATCAGAGTAACTGTCATCCTGAGAGGGCGAGCCTCTGCTGTTTTTTGTCTCTTTCTGTCCTCCCACCATTTGACTCCAGGTGCAGGTGCGACTGTGGGAAGAAGGCAGCCAAACAGAGCAAACAGAGCTCCAAGCTCCAGCTTTCTGGTGAAACCCAAAGAGGATAAACCAAATAACAATAATGATAATAATAGAAAAGTAATAATTTTCAGTTACTATTGAAAACTAAAAACAAAGAAAACATCGTGAAAGCAATCAGAGAAAAATGGTGTGTTAATTATACAGGAATGATTTTAATAACTGTGGATTTCTCAACCGAAACCATGGAGAGGAGGAGAAAAATGGAACAAAATTTTTAAACAGCTAAAAGAAAAGAGCAGGGAAGCAGATTCTGTACCCAGTGAAAACATCCTTCAGGAACGAAAGTTATATTAATACTTTCTCAGATAAAGGAAACTAAGACAATTCATTGCCCGCAGACCCGCTCTGAAAGAACTGCTAAAGAAAATTCTTCAGACAGAAAGGAAATTAAATTAGAAGGAAATTTGGAACATGAGGAAGGAAGGAAGGGCAATAAAAATGGTAAATATCTGGGTGATTTAAGACTATTCTTGTCCTCTTAAATTCTTCAAAATATGTTTGACAGTTGAAAGCAAAAGTTGTCACGTTGTCTGATGGGGTTTCAATGTTTGTAGGTGTAAGGCATAGGACAATTACAACATAAAGGAGGGGTGTGAAGGGACTTACATGGTACAAAGTTTCCACATCCACTTCAAGTGGTAAAATATTGATTCTAAGTGGAGTATAAAGAGTTAAGTATGGGGGGCTGGCCCGGTGACCCAGTGATTAAGTTTGCAGTTCTGCTTCAGTGGCCCAGGGTTTTGCCGGTTGGAATCCTGGGTGCAGACATGGCACCGCTCGTCAGGCCAAGTTGAGGCAGCGTCCCACATGCCACAACTGGAAGGACTCACAGCTAAATAAAATATACAATTATATACTGGGGGGATTTGAGGAGAAAAAAGCAGAAAAAAAAAAAGATTGGCAACGTTGTTAGCTCAGGTGCCAATCTTAAAAGAAAAAAATAGAGTTGTGTGTATTTTGTATTCTTAAAGCAACCATTTAAAAATATCTATAACAAAAGATATAGTAAAAAAAAAAACCCTAATAGATAAATTAAAATGGAATTCTAAAAAAATTCAAATATTCCAAAAGAAGACAAGAAAGAGGGAAACAGAGGAATGAAAAAAAGAAGGAACAAACAAGAAACAAATAATAAAATGGTAGATCTAAATCCAAATATATCAATATTTACATTAAATGTAAATGGTTTAAATACATAAATTAAAACAGATTATCAGAATGGATTAAAAAGTGAATTAGATGCTATCTACAGGAAACTCACTTTAAATATAATGATATAAGTAGGCTAAAAGTAAAAGATGGAAAAAGATATACCATGTAAATACTAATCAAAGGAAAGCTGGAATGGCTTAATGTGAGAAAAAGTAGACTTCAGAGCAAAGAAAATTACCAGGAATAAAGAGAATCATTCTACAATAATAAAAGGGTCACTTCACC